CCCTATGGGATTAATAAAGTTTCACCCCACTTTAAAATAACTGACCTAATTCAACAGAGGTCCAGCCAATTTGTGCTAATATTCTCAAAACGACTCACCAGGGTGGGCTTTTCAAACTGCATATGAAAAAATGTATTTGAATTTGAATGTTTTTCTTGCCTTCTTTTCTAAAAAAAATAAATTAACAAAAAACATTTTCAAAAGGTGGGTTATATCTCAATTATCCCTTCTGTGAGTTGTACGACAGTATTAGAAAATGTTTTAGTACTTTTGTTTAGTTAAAAAATAAAATATAGTAATATAATAATAAATGAAATTATTACATAATTTTCTGGGTTGGAGTTTTCATAAATGTACTACTTTGTTCTCCCAATATTCTTACTCTGTTCTCGTAATTGAAAAAGAAAAAAAGTCTTACATTGCTTCATAGAGTTAACCTGAATTCAAAGTCCAAATAAACAGAACCTGCAAAACACGCTTGTCAAACAAGATGGCCGGCCTCAGGCCATGATGACATCATTCTGAACGATGAGTGCAATGGAGAGAAAAAAAAAATCAGATTTTCCAAAAATTAAACCTTCAAAAAATTTGATTAACCAATAAAACCGATTATTGCCCGGACTAATCTCAAGTGACTGTTTAAAGGCACCTGTGTCTGGCATCAGATTTGCGTTTGCAGGCAAAGACGCATCTATTAAACACCGACTCAAAAATATGTGCAACAGCTATGGACATATTTGTACAAGTTTTTTGTATTTTCTTTTAAATTAAAAAAGCCAATTTTGTGCACCCTGGTTGACTTGATGCACAGTGGAGGACACTTTCTAAGAGATACCGTACATTGTCAAGGAAAACCTCGATGGACCCTCCTCACCTGAGTGGAAGATTTCCTGGCCTTCTTCTTCTCCGGGCTCTTCATTTGTGAAGCTGAAGTAGTAAAAAACAGGAGGAGAAGAAACTTGAGTAACTAAAAAAAATATTCTCTTCATGCCTCACATTATTGATCCACCACCAATCAGGTGCAGCATCACATTTGGATTGGCCAATACCCCTTAGTGACAGAGTGGAGCAGCTTTAGACCTAGGGCCTCTTTTTCAAGTCCAACAGTTGAGATGGATTCAATGATGAGACATAGACTGGCATGAGGACAAAATGCTGAACATCCAGGCGTTATCATCACCAACGTTATGAAGCCTTGAATCGCAAATGACCCAGGCAGACCAAATGACCCAGGCAAGAGGAAGAGAGGCCGCAAACAGAGGCAGAAGAGGTAAGGTCAATGAGGGAGACAGGAAAAGACTTCAGACATGAGAACGAAGAAACAGTACTGAAGATACATTTATAGCAAGATAGACGTAATAACCTGTTCACAGACTCACTCTGTGAGAAACAGCCACCACCGAAGACAGTCGTGAAGTTTACATATGGGGAGGCGAAAAGTGATTTGCTAACAGCACCAGTGCAGCCCATTGCAGCGCAGTAATGGATGATTCCGATCTGATCGGGAGATGGGTGAAGGTAATTCCTACCTTTTCGTTTTCCTTGTCCCGCCAGTAGTCTCCCCGATTCGGAAGCCATTAGCTAATATGACTGTCGGTGAAGTGGCAAATCACCGTTCATATGCAAGGGAAAAAAAAAGTTACAAAAATGACGACGTCTTGAAGGCTACATGCCAACAGGTTGAATCTGCCACAGAGGCCCAGAGGTCCAAAACACGACAATACATAGTTTTTTCTTCTTCTTCTTCAATGGTGCAACATACCCTTTAATTGAAGAGTTTTGTCTGGTCTTGTTGTGTTTTGGATCTCAGGTTCAACCTCCCTGTCAGTACTGTAACTACAGCATTGGCTAACACTTAAAAGTGAACTGGATTAGCTGGTACAATAACGCCGGCCCAGGTCTGCAAATATTTTAGCCACGGTGTCTGTCACGCCAGGATTTGGTCACCAAATCAACGTCAGACAAAAGTGACAACTCTAATTTATGTAGCAGAAATTTACGGAGCTCATAAAGTGCCACAAGTTGAAATGAAAAATTAACTGATTCGGGTTAGTCAACAGTATGCACAGATTTGCTGTCATAGTTGTGCCAATGTGCACCAAGAATTGCAGTGAGCTGTGTTTTCAGTGAAGAGGTTGTTGTCAACAAAGTGACAACATAAAACCGGATCTCAAACAAAGGCTTAACAATTTCATATTGTTTTTAATGCAGAAGGAAACAATATACTGTGATAACAATTTTCTGTCCTGCTCTGATAACCATAAACTCCAATTTAGGTTGTTAATAATTCTCAAAAACTTGGCAGATTTTTTTTTTAATTTATGGTTAAGAAAAATCTTCTTTGTCATTTTAACCATGTTACTTTTTTGTTAAAATATTTGGATTATTACCATGAAACCTTAATATTTTAGCCAAATTTAGCATCACAACAATTAAGAAATCTCACAATCTCAATTGTTACTAAATGCAAAACGTCACAGAGATTAGATAGAATCAGAGCGAGGAAAACTTCCATCGATGATGACTAATATACAATTTAGCAACAGAACTGCAGGATTTTTTAAATGTTATGTTTCCCTAGCTTTCAGATTTGGGTCTGATGTCATTCCCAGACCCAAGCTCTGACATCTCATTTCAAACATTTTGAGGTGCTGTAAAGCTATTACTCGCTGTAGTTGACATTAGCAATTTAATACTACGCAAACTGAGTATGTTCATATCCACAACATCATTAATAATTGTCAATATATCTCTAAAATTGCACTGTGCAACATGTTGAGGCAGCTCTGTTCTGATTTGTTCTGCTTGTGAAAAAGATAAAGTAGTTTTGAATTTTATTTGATTATTTGTCCAAACTTTCTCAAGGGGATTTATATATTTGTCAAGTCTCTTTTCCCTTAGCCTATCACAGGTCACAAAGCTTTTACAGCTCATCCAAGCTATCCTTTTAAGAAGAATCAGACGCACCATACAATGTTTCTATGTTGACAATCGCTGGGGTAACCATTTGCTTTATAAAATAAGACAAAAACATGAAACGTATATCACAAGATTCCTTAACCTGGTCGACAAGCAACGAGTTTTCCATTGAAAGTTTCCAAATTGATGCAGTATATGCCTACCACATCCTTGTGTCATGAGAAAATTTGAATTCTAGATGTTGATCATGCCATTTTGCATATCTGTGCACACGTTTCCTAAACTTAGCAAACGGATGTTCCCAACTTCTATTTTTATGACTACATTTGGCACTTGCAGTGCTCCGTACCAATTTCGAGTAGGTGCAACCCAGCTTCCCTCCGTTGGTTGATGCTGGTTTTCGTACTACCAGCTGTTAGTCAGTAGATATACAGTGCAGAGCTCCCCGTCCTCCTCTAATCACTTGCAGATGTTTGGTTAGCAACTTGCAGGACGCTACGTTTGCTAACCAGTTAGCCACGTTACCCAATGTGGCTAACCAGCAGCGTTGAGATTTTCACTCAAAACTCGTAAAAATCATAAACCAAACTCTACCATATGTGTCTTTACAGTCATTTTAACACATATCACATAGTGTATAGCACAAAGAAATCGATTAGGTTGTGTGAACTTGCTGTTTGCTATGCTAACATTAGCGAGCTAGCTGCAGATTGCTAGCCATCTGGCAGACTATCGTGGAAGCAAACTGTACCCTTTCTCCGATGCTTGCTCTGCTCTGCTGTCCTTTAAAACGAAACTCGCTGGTGTGTCATTGCCAGCAAACCAGTCCTCATACGGTGTGTGCTTGTTGATCCACCATTCAACTGTAATTCATTCAAAAACGCAAATTTCTGTCATAATTACCACGGCCTTTCTGCCGCTACCGGACAAAGAGGGAGAAGCAGGGAGAGCGAGCAGCACGGACGGTTACATTTCACCACACAAATAGGGGTGTTGGTAGGTATTTACTACTTATTTTACCACCACTTTTGGTAAATAAAATGCCCTGTTGGCTTAAATTGGATAGTACAAGTCCAAATAGAAAGATATATTTATACCGCCTTGCAGAAAAATAGCGAAATGTTCTAATTTTAATTTATATTAAAAATAATCCCACCCACATTTTTGGCTAGTCTAACATATGCAGAGCTGGTCTAAACCTGCATTTCAAGAAAAAGCAGTCAATTTGGGTAAAAAACGGGATTGAAACTAATGTAAATGAACTTATTTCTGTCTTGAACAATAGCTCCATGAATTGGGGTGAAACAACATTATTGTAAGTGTAAACCTTGAAATATTATATTATATTATATTATATTATATTATATTATATTATATTATATTATATTATATTATATTATATTATATTATATTATATTGTAGAGAGGATCTTGTTTTTCTGAAAGTTTCCATACAGAATCAAAAAATCATATTAAGTCATTATAGTTCATCTGCTTTTATTGAAATTGTTTGTGATATTTGCTGTTGTATTTGTGAATTTATAATCATTTTCTCATTGATTTTTGGTAACTAGAAATATATTTTAAAAACCCGTAATAGTATTAAAATGGGTACACCATTACTATTTTTTTCAAAGATGTTTTATTATTTTACAGATTCAATTCTTTCATTCATTCATTCATTCTAAAATTCTTTTGAATTTTGGGAATTTATCTGTATATTCATGTATTTTGTTTTTTTTCCCAAAAAAGCGGACAATTTGGGCTTTCCTGAATATTTTGCAAGAACCTTATTAACATTAACAATGTTTCATCCTTGGTTTCTGTAAATTAAAAAAAAAAAAAGAAAGAAAATAAACCTGAAACATTGGTGGTGTAGAATTTTTTTAAATAAATTTTTCATTGATTACTGACCCGTGGTGAGTGCGAGGTGGCCAGGCTTGAAGGAGGGACCCAGGGCAACAGTGAATATAGGACCGCCACTGACTCTCCGCCCACCAGGGACTGCCTCCCTGTTGTTAAAGCAGATACCTGCCTCCACACGGGCTCATTTATTTGACTTTTTCCATGCGGACGCTCGGAACTTACCCTCTGGGAATGGGACCAAAAATCACCATCAAGAAAAACTTTGCCTTTTTTCGGATGATCCCGCTCCGATGGCATCTTTTTATCCAAAGAGAATAAATTTTCTTTAAACTGAAAAAAATGAGCAAATGTAATACATTTTCAAATGGGATAAAACTTGGGTATTTTTTCCCTACTAATGAGGCTTATGTTTCATTTTTAAAAGATTTTTTAAAAGTGAGGTGTGAAAATGTTCTGTCTAGAATAAAGCAGCGGAAGTCCATTGTTAGAGAGGCAGTGATTTTAGTCAAGGTGCGTCCCCGGGGGCCCCTTTGCATGGCGCTGAAAGGTGCAGGACAAGGCAGGGAAGTTTACAGATTTTCATCTGAGGGGGGGGAAATGGCAAAATGGTTCAAGGAGTTCCCCCTGGCCCTGAAGAACGGTACGGACAAGATCCGGTCAGTCTCCGAGTCCGGCTCCCATCCGAGAGCAAATAGAGCCGGGCTGATGATCAGCATCGGGACCAAAACGGGCCACCGGAAGAACTCCTCACCAGACAGCGCGCCAGGAGGTGGAGGCGTCGGAAAGAGCCGAAAGAACTCCGGCGCAGAGGTCAGCAGGACCGGGGTCGGTTCCCAGAAAGATGGGAAGGTTTGGGACGCTTTGCTGGCCGGGAAAAGCCGCAAGAACTCCAAGGCAGAGGCGGTGCTGGAGGAGCAACACAGGCCCCCGAAGACCTCCCCGCCCGCCCGCGCCTATATCAGCCGGATGATCAGAGTGGACAAACAGGAGAAAACCCCCAACTTTACAGTCAGTGGTACCGCCGGCGGCCCAGTGAGCTCTGAAGCTGAGAAACTTGCAGCCCAGTCCACAACGGAAACTGTGAGTTTCATTCTAAGAGCTCATTTTGACTCTCCTAAAAATACTGGTTGTAAAAATAAAAATAAACCAGGTACTGACACTTGATTGTAATCTGGACCACCTCTAGCCCCATAGATAGTATCCCTTATGTGTTGTTTTAGTTTTACATTATTGTTTACATTAATATTTCTTTTGTTCTATAGTGTAAAAAATAAGAATATATAATTTTGAGCCACTGAGCCCAAAGTGCCACAGTATGACAAATAATTAGCAAAAAATATTAAATATTTTATTATTTAAATAAAACTGTGATATATACATAAAAACATCGTATAAAGTACAAACACATGTTTTTAGTTTGTGATTCTTTACACTAATCTGACATATTTCTTCTACCTTCTCTAAAAATACCGATGGGATACCAGTAAACTGTCTGACTGGAGAGGCAGTCAATTTGCTCACAGTGAAGAAGCCTGGATCCAATCCAAACTCAGAAAAGACTTATTATTGTCTCACTTCCCCTCCTCCTCTCTTTGTCTGTGCCTCCCATTGTGCCCATTCCTCCCAGATTGTGTCTCTCTGCTCCTCTCCACTGTTTGATCTTCTACCTTCATCTTCCTCTGCCTCGATTACAAAACTGTTGACGGGCATAAAAGGTCGTCACCTTCCTCTGGCTCGGTTTTGACCTACGCAGAGGCGCCTCCCTCCTTCGCTCTGCTTCATCCCTCTCATTCATAACATTCTTCCCTTCTGGTCATATATCATTGATTCCATTGCCCCAATTAAAGTAAAGGTTTTGACTGGTAGAAAGAAATCTCCATGGAGAAATGCACAAATAGTTCGGTCTGCAAGACAAGTCTGCCGCAGGGCAGAACGACAATGGCGTAAAACTCAACTTCACGTTCATCACGACATCTACAAAGAAAAACTACGTAACTATCACTTAACACTAAAACATGGAAGGGAGGCTTTCTTTGCAGATGTCATAAAGAAAAACATCAATAATGCTCGAACTTTATTTGCAACAGTTGACAGGCTCACAAACCCTCCTGTGACGTTTCCACCTGAATTCCAATCTAATGTTGCCTGTAACAAGTTTTCTGATTTCTTTTCAGAGAAAATCCAAAAAATCAGAGGATTAATCTGCACATCAACTCTAAAGCCAGAACCATTGCTGTACCAAAACAAAACAAATACAGAAAAAATGACCCATTTTCAACTACTTAATTATAAAACTCTAGAAGAAATTATAAGTCAATTAAGTTCAAGCTCCTGCTGTCTGGATGTCCTTCCCACACATTTCTTTAAGAAAGTCCTGCCTGTTATTGCTACTGATCTGATCCAAATCGTAAACTCATCGCTTACATCAGGTGTTTTCCCCCAGGCCTTGAAAACAGCAGTCATCAAACCACTGTTAAAAAAGAACAACCTGGACAAATCACTATTGCAGAATTACAGGCCAATCTCAAACCTCCCATTCATCAGCAAAGTTATTGAAAAAACTGTGTGTAAACAATTAAATAGTTTCCTCATGATGACCAACTGCTTTGACACTTTCCAGTCTGGTTTTCGTGCTCACCACAGCACGGAGACTGCCCTCGTAAAAGTATTCAATGATATCCATATAAATACGGACTGTGGGAGAACCACGGTGCTGGTTCTGTTGGATCTCAGTGCAGCTTTTGACACTGTCGACCATGACATATTACTGAATCGACTTGAAAGTTGGGTTGGACTCTCCGGTTCGGTGCTCGACTGGTTTGAATCCTACATAAAGAACAGGGATTTCTTTGTTTCAATTGGAAACTTCTCATCAAAGAGGTCAAAGGTCACATGTGGGGTACCCCAAGGTTCAATCCTAGGACCCCTCTTATTTAATATTTATATTCTCCCACTAGCTCAGGTCATAACAGGAAATAATATTAGCTACCACAACTATGCGGATGACACACAGCTCTACATTACGATGTCACCAGGTGACTCTGAACCCATCCAATCACTGAATAAATGTTTAGAACAGATAAATGTGTGGATGTGCCAAAACTTTCTCCAACTGAACAAAAATAAAACTGAAGTCATTATTTTTGGACCTAAAGAGGAACGATCTAGAGTCAATGCACAGCTTCAGTTACTACCACTAAAAACTAGCGATCAGGCCCGAAACCTGGGAGTGGTGATGGACTCGGACTTGAACCTCCAGAGCCACATAAAGACACTAACAAAATCGGCCTTCTATCACCTGAAGAACATCTCCAGGATTAGAGGACTAATGTCTCAGCCAGATCTAGAGAAACTCATTCATGCGTTTGTCTTTAGTCGCATTGATTATTGCAACAGCATCTTCACAGGCCTGTCCAACAAATCAATCAAACAGCTGCAACTGATCCAGAATGCTGCTGCTCGCGTTCTCACTAGAACCAGGAAGATAGATCACATAACACCAGTTTTAAAGTCCCTCCACTGGCTCCCTGTAGCTCAAAGAATAGATTTTAAAATACTCTTGTTGGTTTACAAATCACTGAACGGTTTAGCACCACAATACATCAAAGATCTGCTGTTGTTGTATCAACCTTCCCGACCTCTCAGGTCTTCTGGTTCTGGTCTGCTCTGCATCCCCAGAACCAGAACCAAGAGAGGAGAAGCAGCTTTCAGCATCTATGCACCAAAAATTTGGAACAAACTTCCAGAAAACTGTAAAACAGCGGAAACCCTGACTTCCTTCAAATCTCAAGTAAAACGCACCTGTTTAGAGTTGCATTTGAAATGTAATATGTATGGATTTGATTTTGTGGATATGTATGTAATTTTTTTTTTTTTTTCCTGTTGTGGGCAACGGGGCCCGGCGAATACCCGTGGTTAAACGGACGGCGGAGTCCGGCGGTAACAGGCGCTTAAATTCCGTGTCAAAGGGAAGGGGGAAGAAAGGGAAAAAAGAGGGAAAGTGGAAAAAGGGGGAAAAAAAAGGGAGGAAAAAAAGAAAAAAAAAAAAAAGAAAAAAAAACCTTGGTATTTTATTCTATGTTGCATGCCTTCGTGTTTTGTATTTATGATGTAAAGCACTTTGAAATGCCTTGTAGCTGAAATGTGCTATACAAATAAAATTTGATTGATTGATTGATTACCGCCACCATGGTTTACAAAACTCAATGGGATTCAAATCAGAGCCTGGCCAAAGCCTCCATCAGTTTATCCTAAAAAAAAAGCATGATGGGAAAAACCATCAATAACTACATCAGTTATAGTAGATATTAGAATTACGTAAGGCTGGACGATATGGCTGAAAATTGCATCAAGATTTAGGCATTCCATATCAGTCGATATCAATAATTATTGTTTAGTTTTTTTGATTCAGACATCCAAAATACAACTAAATAGAAAAATCACTAATAAAATATTCTATTTTGTTGAAGGGCTGGACAATATGGCTGAAAAACCATATCACGATGAAAGTGTTACATATCAGTCAATATCGATAATGAATGTTTTAAATATTTGAAATTCTGCCAGTCTGACGTGTGACTGTTCCTGTCTTGTCCAGTTTTAAATCCATGTAGTTTTTTATTATGTTTTTGAGCAGTTATAAGGCACAGTGACAAAACCTTAAACTGCTGCTGTGCAAGTTGCTCATCAGGTCATTGCGAGGTAACCAAAGAGGAGTGAGTTAATGCATACCATTCACTTTGCTTAGCTGACCAGGAAAAGTTGAGCAGGTGTGCACAATGTTAAATAAATAAAAATAAATACATTTATGGTATTTATATGGTCAAATCCAGGCAACCGCAGTGGCCAGTATTTTACCGTAAATTAGAGACGTTTTCTTTTTGTTTTGTTTTCACAGTGTAGAACTGATGTAAAAAAAGAAAGTGTTAGCAACCCATTGCTGCATGAAAATTACACTAAATACTCTATAAAACAATCTAACAACATTTTCCCAAGCAGAAATTCAAGCATTTGTTTATTTTGAAATTAATTTGACTTGATTTCAGTAGAAATTTAACCTCAAGTTCGAGTTTCGTCTCTGAGCTCACAGTTTAAAGGATCTACACCCCCTAAATTATCGTTTTCCCTGTATTTTCCTGAGCCAGTTGATTATTGTGGAGGATTACGCAGACCCGTTTGATGCCCAGAAGACCAGAGATCAGAGGGATGCAGAGAGGGTTGGGGAGAACGATGGCTACATGGAGCCGTACGATGCACAACAGATGATAACCGGTAGGAACTCGTAAAACACGCTTGACCTCACAACATTCCCATTTTCGGTCACTTCATCACCCTTCTGAGAATGTGAAGTCACTCTGCTCTCTGGCTTTGCTATGATGACCGCATTTCATTTGGACAATGGGAGTAGTTTCCTGTCCTCACTTCCTCTTTCCTGTTTCTATTTCCTGGTGCTATTCTCTCAAAAGGAAGTCGGCCCCGACCGGCGGCTCCCAGAACCTAGGATGCAGCCCTATTTGGACCTCCTAGAGTCAGAGGAAATGTGGTGTCCAATCAGGGAATCGGATGCTGCCAGAAACTTTTTAGTTTGTTGTTTTTACCAGAAGAGTCAAACAATGGCACTGCGTGAAGGTGGACAAGCTTTATTAGGTTCTTATTCGTCTCTTAGGTTGTTTCTCACTGTGAAGTCAGCAGAGGATGTGATGATGTGAGTCGGTTTGGTTTAAGAGGCTGAAATCACATGGAAGGAAGTCAGCAGGGCCATGAATGCGGCCCGGCATTATTTAGCAGCTGAGATCAGTTATTAAATCACAATTTCAAGCAGAATTTCTTGCTAATTTATATTTTTTTTATTCAAGCCAGGGTTGAAAGCTAGACTTCTCTGAGTTTTTACTCAGAGAAGTTAAATTTAAATAGGTGTGCGTACCTTTATACTAATATTTTGTTAAAGCACTTTTAAAAGCAATTTTAGCATTTATTGTTTATTTTTGGTACACATATAACATTTATTAAAGTGCCACTGATGAACCTAAAATGAAGTCAAGCTGTCTTGATTACTAAAATCTCATTTAAATATGTGGTGTAAACATTTGAGAGAGGTTTTCTCCCTTTGATGTTAAAAAAATGAAACTGGTTCAATTGAAATTCAGCTACAACCTTAACTTTTTTGTGTCCAGCTTTCCCGTCTTTCTCCCACAATGTTCCTGCGGCCGCTGCAGGCTCTGTGTCGCTCTGGCGGTGGAGACTTTTATCTCTCGGCAGAGATTTTAATCTTTAATCCCTTCTCTTCAACCTGCCAGAGATCAGACGTCGGGGATCTAAAGACCTGCTCAAAGTGTGCATGTCTGCGGATGGGAGCGAGGGACCTGCGAAGAAAGGTCAACCGGCTGCCATCTATGACGACCCATATGTAGGGAGCGGTGACGGTGAGCGGACGAAGCCGCAGCTGCACCAGCGCCCTGCAACTGAGTACGAATTGCCATGGGAATGGAGGAAGCAGCACATCGTCAGGACTCTGTCGGGTATAATAAAGCACCACGTTGTTATTATCTGAAGGTTCATCACTGAGTCTGAAGTTGGATTCTGGTTGAAGCTTTTCAAGAGTAGATGGTTCTGTTTGTCTTGCTCCGTCTGCTTCACCCTCACATGCATATTTTATAAGCTACACAGACCAACAGTTCACTGAACATCTTGTATAAAACATCAAAGTCGCCTGCTGTGTTTTCAGACATCAACAGAAAGTTCAAGCTCAAGAAGAAAGCTGTTCTAATATATATATAAATTTTACTTTGCTTGTGCTCGTCTTTTCCCAGCACAATTTGACCACCCAGTCAAAGAAGAGACATGTTTTCATACCCTCACCATGCAGACCCAGCTGCAGCAGCAGCAGCAGAATCATCTGAGGCAAAAAAGCAGAAGCCAAAAGATCCTGAGATCCTCTCACCCGACTCTGCTGCCATCCAAGCTACCCCGCAGCAGCCCTGATGGAGAGGCGCGCTGCGTGGATCCATTACTGCCCCTGGAAAAGCAGAGGTACCACCCTGCTCTCCTTTACAGACAAAAACGCAAAATATACAGTATATTTTGAAATTAATCACACCTTTAGATATTTTTTTATTGGGCGGGTTGAAATGAGAAGGGAGCATCATGATGCGTCCACATTATGCTCCAGTACATTTATTGTTCCTGTGATATAGTATTTTCTTTTTTGGGAAGTCTTGAATTAATTTAAGAAGAACAATATTTTTCTCCAAAATGGCAAAAAAAACCAAAACAACAACAACAAAAAAATGAGATAAAGAAAGAAAAGTTACAAAAATGCTCAAAGTGAAGCAGAAAGCTGAAGAAAATTATTTCTGAATCAGAAGAAGAAAATCATCTGTACAGATTTAACAACTGTGACTCTGACTAAATGTCTGGTTATCGATGAAACATTACTCGCTTACAGTTTTCTCAAGTTTCAGAAATTATGTTTAGCTAAACTGAAAGGAGATTATTTCACATATAGAGCTTCGAAAATGTTTAAAACTCAAATTGGACTCTGCAAAGCCTTCCATGACCCATGTGACCTACATGTTTTAAAGTGGTGTAGATGTTTTTGGAGTGATATCCAACTAATATATTGAGGAATTAAAGCATCACCTAAAGTCTTGACTCTGCGTCTCTTCCAGTTGGTACCATGGCTGCGTGACCCGGCAGGAGGCAGAGTTCCAGCTGCAGTCCTGCAAGGAGGCCAGCTTCCTGGTCAGGAACAGCGAGTCAGACAGCAGCAAGTACTCCATCGCCCTCAAGTGAGTGTTTCCTGAAGGTGCAGGCGCAGCTTTAGCTGGATAAATGTTTCTAATTGGATGCACATTTCTTATTTGTGGCTTTGCTGTTGTCTGTGTTTGAAAGAATGCAGGACAAATTAGTGGGTGTGGATGAAGAGGCATCTAAACCAGAAACATATCTTAACAGAAATTTTGAAAAACAAAACAGAAAGCCAAGCTACACCCAGCAGAACATAAAATAACAGATAAAAGAAAGGAAACGTGCATTTAGAGAGAAGATTCTTCTGAGCTGGAGCTCAGCTGTTGCTCTGGTGTGACGGCCATCATCCTATGTTGTTTCAACTACCATATGAATTCTCTAGAGACTCAAAGATGCTACAACATTTTTCTGGGCAGACATTAAATGCATGAAATAAAGTTTAACCGGAAAATAAACTAACTGAACTAAACTTCTGTTGGACAGAATGAAAACACAAAAGAGCCATAATGCTATATATGATATAATATAACAGAATATAACAGAATATAATATAATATAATATAATACAAAATAATATAATATAATATAACATAATATAATATTATATAATATAATACAAAATAATATAATATAATATAATATAACATAATATAATATAATATAATATAATACAAAATAATATAATATAATATAATATAATATAATATAATATAATACAAAATAATATAATATAATATAATATAACATAATATAATATAATGCTTTTATTTAAGGTAAAATCTATATGAATGTAGCTATATATAAGTAAATTAAAATAAACCTTGCAAAACAAATACATCAGGCATAATAACAATTTTGCCTAATACTACTACTGCTACTACTACTAATAAAACTACTATAAGTATTTTATCATTGCTATTATAATATAATATGTAATAATTACAACATTATTACATAATATTAATAAAACAGCTATTATTATATCACGCAATAATAATAGTATGAAATAACATAATATTATAATATTAACAGTATTATTATACTATAACACTTATAGTATAATAATGCTACCAGCATTATTATACTACTACTTATTTTCATAGCTCTAATTATTGTGTAATAATTATTAAACAATAATTTAATACTTGTTATAATAACTCTTTGTAATAATTATTACACAATAATTATTATTAATAATAGTATCTGTTATTATTATTTATACATATTATGCAAGTTAAATACTAAATGAAAGCAATAAATAGAAAGGGAAGAAATAAATAAACCATCAATAAATGAAAAAGGAAACATCTTTGCTATTAATAAAATTTGACGTTCATCACATCCTCATTGCGTTTCCTTTGCTAATCAGAAGCTGAAGGTTTAGTCTTCATGAATCTCGTCTGTGTTCAGGACGAGTCAAGGTTGCGTTCACATCATCGTGGCCCAGACCAAAGAGAACGGCTTCACCCTGGACCAGAGCAGCTGCGTGTTCCCCAGCATCCCGGAGGTGGTGCACCATTACTGCACCAGCCGCCTGCCTTTCACCGGGACCGAGCACATGACGCTGCTCCACCCGGTACCTCGCATCCACTGACTCTGACCTTAAAACCTCATATGCATTTGAAGCAGAGATTAAAAGAAATAATCTAAAAATTAGGTTTCTTTTTCTGTACATCCACAACCCTTTCAAATGTGTTATTTTTTTGTTGATTTGATGTTTGAAATGTGTTCAGCTGCCTGGCTTTTATTCACTTATTTTACTTTGATGTGCAGCTGATGCAAAACATCCAGGCTGCTATTTTGCATGTGAACAAGCCCAGCAGAAAAGACTTTTGTTTTTCTGATTTAAATGTGACCTGATTTCAGACTGGATTATTAGCAGTGAAACTGCTTCTGTTGTTTTATTGTTGCTAAGTTAAATTTCCAGATATTGGAAACATTTGAGTTTATCTCTCCTGCCCTCTAGTGGACAAGGAGGATTTACTGCATCTTTAGCAAGACAAAGATTTGCTCCATGCATTGAAACAAATCTAAAGATATGGAAAGAGATACTCTCAGAGCGTTGGTTACATGAAATTAGAATTTATGCATTTGGTTTCGGCATCAGCTGCCCCATGAGGATTTTTTTCCCGTTTCGCTGTGAAAAGAGGGAGCAGTTTCCACTGTGTTGTGTGCACTGTGAAGACTGGGTGATTCACCCCAAAACAATGTGTGAGACAGAGCTCCGGCTCGGCAGCGATTGAACTTTTTACTGACAAAAAACCGAGGATCAGGCTTAACATGTTTATTCATTTCAGGGAGCGTTGCAATGATTCCCAACCTGTAGGGGAGGTAGAGAGCTAAGAGATGGGCGCTTGGCGCTTGGGGGATGGGTTGAGACTTTTAATATGTTGTGCTCTACTTACTGGCAGCCTTGATGCAGATTTGTGTCAAAGTTGCTAGAGTTTACAGAGAGACCTTTGACCATTCCTCTTTACTTTCCCGGCAGATTCTCCTGACTTTGCTCTTCTCGCCTAAGTTTGGAGAGCTCCAGTGGTGACACAACTTCAGAATACTAACTCAGATTTCTATTAAAAATGTTCTGGTATTTAAAAAACTGCATATGGCAGTGTACTCTAGCAAAAATAGTTCAATTTACTTGAATGAGAAACCAGAAACCACATCGCCCACATGTCGTATTTATTACAGGAACTCTCAGTCTTAGTCTGATCTGACCAAAGCACAAAGTTGTTATACTGAAAGCCAATGAGGATTTGAATTATAACAAAGGCTTCAGGATCTTTGGAGGAGAAACATTGATGTTACTGTGGCCCACAGTAACATAGAACCTCAGCTTCATCTGACATACAGCTTAAGTTATGGTCCATGGAAATGTTTACATTTGTGACAGTAGGAAAGTTTTGTTTTTTCTGGCATGCAGAAAACGTTTAGACAATCTGATCTTATAGACAGCACCAGCAAGCAGCTTTTCAAATTGGAATGACATGTCCTGGAGTATTTTCTATTTTGCAGAACTATAAAGAAAATAGAAAAACATCTCTGTCTGTACCAGTTCCTTGGAATTATAACTTACAAAATATAAAAGATTTTAATCAGTTGAGGCTTATTTTAAAGGGATTGGTATTGCTTTGAATTATTATTGTTATTATTCTGGCTCCATTCCAATTTATGTGGAATAAACTGGAGAATAAAGTGGAAAAAAATCAAATTTGAGAAGCAACAAAGTAGCTGTAAGCTTCAGATTTATTTTTCTATTTTTATAAAATTAGTCACACCATCTTTAGATCTAGTTTGTCATACATACAATAGCATGTTATGGTTAATTTTATTGTAAAAGATTATTTGATGAAAGTAAAATATTCTCTTGCAAAAACAACCTTAAACGTGACCCACCCACATAGTGACGTCACACAAGGAATATAATTATTTGTAAAGTGAGTGTATTTGAAAATTTTGTGGTTCTTTATTGCATGTTTTCCGGTAAATTCTGTCTTCTTCTCTCTTTGCTCACCTCAGCTGATGTTTGTTTTTAAAACCTTTGAAAAAGTTCTCCCTCCAGGTAAGACAGTTCTGCACCTTTAAGGGGAAAATCGCTGATGGGAGATGTTTGAATGTTCCCTGAAAGTCTTCAGATTTTACTGCCTATCAGCTCAAACATACCAAGCCTTACGTTTCATCTCAGTGGCACGCTGGAGACCAGAACTTAGCCTGAAGCCCAGATCCAGGCCCACATCACGGTCTCAAATACTTGAACGTTAACCATTTACGTGCCACTTCAAAGTGTCATTGTTTTAAGTCAATGTGTTTTGATGTAATTTAAATGGAAACCAGATTTAGTGGTCCTGAATGTGCTGAATCCCAATAAAACAAGCAGCGGAAAATGGAAAACGTGAGTCTGTTGTGCTTTATGTGCTGTAAAGAAGCAGGATCTTAAGCAACAACGGTAGAATGAAGGTTGGTTTTTCTTTTTGTGCTCGATCCGCATGTTGACTTTTGGCTGTCGTTCCAAAGACCGAGAAGGTCAAGAGGTGAAGTCCTGGTTGAGGGATTGGGTTTAAACTTGAGGATTATGCAGAGCACAAACAGTTTACCTCGTTGTACTCCTGATAGTATGGATTAAAGTAAAAGCAGCCCTAAAGGGAGTAAGAGTCGTATCATTACACTAATGTCAAGGATGCTTAAGGTGACGAGGGTAAAAAAAAAAAAAAAAGCATTGGACACCATCCCTCTCGTCTTCCCTTCTTTTCTTACGGATCTCCTTTACCGTCCTCGTCGGTTCTGTGTCACCTGAGGCAGGTGACCGTCTGACTCGCAGAGGAGGACGCGGCTGCTTCTTATGTATGTTTGATGCCAGGAGTTTGTGCTTTAACCCACGAGGGGAACCGATCCAACGCGTTCGCTCTTATTACCTTAAAACCTCAGATGGCTTTCAGTCTTCTCACGAACGCTGCGACACCTCTGGGTCCGTGGACCCGTGTCTGGTGACCCGCAAGACGCTTCTTCCTGAACTTTTTCAAAAAAGAAAGCATTAAAAATGTAAAATGAATTGACTCGACAGTTTTAGTTTTGCAAACTTGGTGTTAATGCCAGGTGTGAAGTTGATTTTCATTTTGGGGGACATCAAGATCATGAATCATTGCAAAGTGCTGGTTATGACAGAATGCAACTGTAAAACTTCCCATTAACAAACCATTAAAACATTATACCTCGATTTTATTTATACTTCTTAACATTACATTACATTAAACATTGATGTAATTTGACCCAATACAAATAAAAACTGAATTTATTTGACTGAAGTTCTATTCCTGTGTCATTCTGAGAGAAATGCAAAGTTGTCATTATTGACCAAATGACACTTCATAAAGAGTCCTTCTCGTTCATGGCCGTTGTCATGTCCTGTTTATGACACCGTCATCTCAGTCTTATGCACAACCCTTCAGATAAATGAAACTGAATGTGCCACAAAGCTCTTCTGCAGGACATTTGCCCTTTGAATGCAGGTTTTAATACGCCTTGGTTTAAATATATGGCGACTTTTGGAGAGGGAAACCAAACCAGTATCATGCAAGAAGTAATTTAAACACAGTTCTGATGTCTTCATTGGCTGCATGAAGGTAAAACAAAGCAAAGTTTTTAAGAACTTTAAAGCTCAAAACAAGCAGCTAATAAATCAAACAAGGTTCACAATGAAACAGAAGATCCAGGTTTTCGCAGCAGTTTGGGATTTTCAACATTTCACTGAACTGTCACCAAGTTTTTCAACACAGTTTCACTATCACCTTAGTGTTGCAAACTGGGACACTTTTTGATGCTCAATGAGGCCAAACAGATTTAAATTAGTCATGGAGTGAATACACCAGTAGATCTGCTCCTGCCAAAGTCCCGGCCTTGAGTTAAAATTTGGGTCAGCTGCAGGAAACCAACAAGATTAACGGAATGCCACCAGCGCAGCCAAGAGGAGCGGTCAAATATCCAACCTCAACAATGCCAGAAGTTCATGTCCTCTTCAAGTATTTGATCAAGGTGCGACTTCTACCCACAAATATTAGCGGTGCAGCACAGGACGGTGTGTTTTAGCATTGCAGTTTGCATGCATTTCAAGAACAGGAAGCTGCTGAAGATGTTTTTCTGCTGCAGTGTTCCTAACACATAAAAAGAAAAAAAAACAGTAAAACACTCTATTAAACTGTATTATTTTTCTAAAAAGCTTTAGTTAAATGAGGTGGAGTTTAAGCTCTTCCTGAAACAAAGGCATCAGAACTTTGTCTTCTGACTCATGTCTGGCAGCCTCAGAGCCCCTGAGGACTTCTATCGAGATTAATTTCATGAACACGAGAAAAGCCGCCCTTCTCAAGTTCTCCACAGACAGAGCCAACTACACCTGGAACGGGTTTAATCATCAGATGATATGGAGCTACAGCCTGTTCTGCTGTATACTTGAATGAATAACTCCACTTTGTTCCCATGTATAAGTCATCCTACCCCTCCGTCCAGCCGCTGCCCCTCGTCGACTTGCATGACAGCTTGTCACGATCGCCGCCCGACTCCTCCTGATGGACGTCGTGCCTTGACATCTTGGTTTCACTTGACCTGCCCTCTTGGTAACCGAAGTGTTCCTGTCGGCCTTATCAGACGCGTCAGGCTTGGTGCCAGTGACACAGCCTGGCTCTCTGTTAGCTCATCTTCTTTTCTTCATGCATGCAGGCGGCAGCACCTGCCATGCCTGGCTGACGCGCTCGCTTGACCTCGGCAGGTGAGGTCGGCCGTGTTTTCAGTCACTCTTTGCACGGTGATCTTAAGTCATTGTTCGCAGTTGAGAGGATGAAGAGCTTGTGCGAGTTAAAGGCCTGCTTTGGAGCATAACTTGTAGGAGGTTTCTGTTTCAACTTGTTTTACAACCAGTCAGCTTTGAGCTGACAACAAGATTGGAAACATGAAGTCTTAACGTTTTATGCTTTGTGATAATATCTGAGTGATAAAATAGAACCAGCATTATTTGCCAAGTTTGTGCATCAAAACAAGGAATCTGACTTCAGGTCAGCTTTGCTCTAAATGAAGATTTTTGAAACGTAAATATATGATGAAAGGGAAAACTCTATAGGAAACATGCATATGCACAATATTTTTTTTGCAACTTTAAATAAATAAACAAAAAAATAAATAGATAATTGAGTATTTATAATTTTTTTTAAAAAAAAAGCACTTTCACTTGAAGGAAAATGGCACTAATGTAGCCGAGACTACAACGCTGTAGTCTCGGCTACGTTGCTGCTTCATGTAGGATTTGGCAAAATTAGAGAAACCATTTAATTTTGCTTCTATCGAACTAATTTCCAGCCATCAGTTCAAATTCTGAAGCTCAAGAAAATGAGTGAATAATAATCTCGGAAGTGTTTTACACTAGTAAAAAGCACTAGTCTTTTTAGTGACCTAGTCAAAGTTCAGACTTATATCTAATGAAGAATCACTGAGAAAACCTGAAACAGTGGTGCTGTAATGAAAGTGGTGGTTTAAAATTCCTGTAAAAAAAAAAACAGTTATTGAGTTTAGGGAGTAATAAATTTTTACATTAACAAATTAAATAACAATTAAAAACTGGTTTTGTGTTATCTTGCTGCAATATTAATATGCATTTTAAATGCAAAAATGTAATAAATCTGCAAGGAAGAAAATATTTTTCTACTGTACATGTTTATTTCATGTTGGTTTCCAATGCGGTATTTCCACTCCCCACACTTATCCTGCACATATCTGCCACATGTGCTGCAGATGCTGAGCAGACTCATTGTTTTTGGCATAAGGGACACATGGAGTTATGACTTTAGGATGATTCGTCTGCAGTTGGGAGACAGCTGGCATTAAAACGCTGCATGGTGTCAGAACTTTTTCGCTCACTTTGGAAACAATCTGCTGATCCTTTTGAAGGTGACAGCAGATTATTACAGAGGCTGTAAATGATTACGGCATGCGACTCGGCTCTCTTAAGGGTCACAGCAAGGTTAACATTTCTGGACGCTGCTTCGGATCGGGAACCTGTCAGCGGGCTGCGCACACTGAAACCATTCAAACAAATCTATCAGAGGACACCTTTAGAGAACGCAGATGGCCGAGGAATGAGAGCGGATCGAGTGAGCCCCGCCCAGAGGACAACTGGCTGACCTGGAGTTAGTTTCTAGAGTGTGTGTCGGTGTGTAAGGCAAAAAAGAAATTGTTTAAGATTAACAGTGTACACCCAGATATGAAGAAATCCCTCCGGATGATAGGATCTGTGTTTCAGCTGTTTTACATTTGGCCCTTTGTCTTAGTTTCAGTCTGAGCAATAAAAGCCAACGTGGTGAAGGAGGACGTGCTAATCTACTGATGTGCATGCATGACGGACAGAAAGAGCTGCTTACTGTAACAGCAACTCCAGCATTCCTCTGTGATTTTATCCACCGCTTCCCAAGCTCTGCAGTTCAGTAATGCACTTCACAATCTGGATCCCCTCCAAGTCTTTGCTGTCCTTTATTCACACCATACTGACACAGGCATGCACGCATATCCTCTCACATATCACGCCCTCTTTCTGTTTTCTCTTTCCTCTCAGCTCCTAAAGGAGTTTTCTATGCAGATTCAAGTCAAACATCTGGGTCAGCTTAGATCTAGCAGAGCAAGACTCGCAGAATATTGTTGGCAGGATGTGATGTGTGAGCCGAAGCAGTTTACTCTGTGGGAATCCCCAACAAAAAAGACGCACGCACACAGAGCGAAGAGCATGCTCACACACCGACACACACTCACTGCTGACATCCTAACTGCTCGATCTCATATCCAGGTGCCACAACTCATTCCAGACGTTTTAATGCACAAGTATGAGGCAGAGCGTTTCCAAGCACAACCTGGGTTTCTCAAATGTTGGGGTGCTGCTTAAATCTTTCTGTGTTGCATCACATCTTCTTGTGGAGTGTTTTCTCAAGGGAAAGGGAACAAAATATTCTTGTGCAGCACTAAACAAAAGTCTTAAGCAATCTTTAGTTTCCTTGTATTTTGCTTCGAGCCATTTCCAGAGAAAAAAGTTGTTTGAAAGACATAAAATAGAATTTCAGCATCAAAAAAGTGATTTCCAAAACAATTAGCCGAGAACTTGCTTCACAATAGGCTCCTCGGGTCGTGCATCAAGGGTTTGCTGGGTTTATTTTATGTTCAATGAACTGCATAAGCTATCATAGTAACAACTTTTCTGTTTACGTTTACACTTTACACATCATCAGTAATTAGTGTTACAGTAATCTAACATTAGAAATGTTACTGAGGAGACCATTTTTAGATTCAATAATTAGCTAAATGACATTTTGTTTGGTCTAATTACATTTCTTCAAGATTATACATGTAAAGCTTGAAGGAAAGACAAAGTACAGACACATGATCTGTTTGTTTCTTTGACTTAGATGGGAAGAATAAACAT